CACGGAAGCCTCAGAAGGGCAAGGTTTTTTTTAAAAAAAAAGTGAGCTCATAGATGAAATTATGTTTTTGTTTTTATGTTTGTTGTTGTTTGTATTTATATAAATATACTGGTGTGATAACTTAGTATACGTTTGATTGGTTCTGCCACTGGATGACAGGTGTTTTCGGAGAAACTGTGTTTATCACATTCCTAAATGATGACTGATGAACAACTGATCAAATAAGGTACTGGAGATTTTCAGCAGATCTGACCTCAGTCTCATGTATTTCCACCTTGGACTTTCCAGCAAGCAGGAAGCTGGGGATTGTTCTGCAGGGAGTCTGTCTATTGCTGACTGGAAATGAGGTTGTTTCTGGAAATCACTGTAGAAAGTCCCATGTTTGGTTTCAGAGTGGGAACAGGTCCGGTCCTGGTTTGGTTTAATTTTTGAAACAGATCAAACTAATCTGAATGGATGTGTTTAAAACTCGCAACAGATTCAAGACACTAATAAAATTCACTATGAAGCCATATCTAATCCCAAACATTCCAAGAGTTCCTGTCAGAGATTAAGCATTCCCATCACATTCATAAATCCTACAAGGGAATCAGAACCGAACTCTGGAGACGTGTAATCCTGATTAATCATTTGAATGTTGGGTTTGTACAGAGTGGGTGATAAAGATGACCTCAGGTCCAGATGTTTACATTTGTTTTATATTAAAAATAAGTCTTATTGAATCCCAAAGGGACAGTAAATTATGGTGCAGTTTAGTTTCTTTAAATAGCATTTGAAGAAACTATAAGTGCTGTTAGAGATGCTGTTGGATGTGGGCAGGAAGGATCTCCTGTCTTGAAACGTTCAGGTGTTTCCTTTTATGAAAAATCCTCCTTTGCCCAATCATCTCTAAAGGCCACCGTAGACCCGTTAACAGAACAAGCCTTTGGACGGGGCTTTCAAAGATAAATAGATCTAACAGGATGTCCTCTCTCCACTGACCAGATCCTGAGGAAATTGCTTTTGCACACAGTACTTAACAATGGCCAGTTCATCCTGCTCCAAGGGTTCCGCTTTGGGCGGCTTAGTCATAGCAGTTTTTTAAAACTCTTTCCTCTCTGCTTTCACTGAGGCTTTAGGCCGTCAGCCTGTGCCACGATCAATGCAAGTCTTCTATTCTGCAGGACAGCAGTCAGTCCTTTATTTTTAGGATGCACGCTACAGATCCTTGCAAACACGTGACGCTCAGAGTCATCCGCATATCTTTAGATGGCAGTGTTAGCGCTGCGGAGAGATGATGTAGGCGCAGAAAAATGCATGTCCATTTTCTTTACCAGCTGGATGCTTCTCCAGGGATCTGTTCCAAAAAGCAGGTTTACTGAAAACTATGTTTTTTCTAAACTTGAAATCAGGGAAACTCAAAGGTTTTCCATTTCACAAAGTTCAGAAAAAATACAATTTTTAAAATGTAATCTCTAAAAAAATAAATAAAAAATCTATGGATTGCCTTTTTTGTTTTTAAATCAATTTAATTTACCAATGGAATTTACGATGTAACATTTACTCCGTACCAGATAAAGGACTTGGAGGAGTTGAGCGTTCAATCATATTACCTGGTAAATTGCTCTAGAAATATACCAAGCTGTTCCTCCCAAGTCCTGCAGCTTGATGAAACCAAAATTAAAAGGTAAGACCGACTTCACAATAAATATAAAAAGAGTGAAAAAAATCCTAGTTGGTCCTTGATCTAATCTGCAAACATCAATTTCAATCTCAATCTTCTGAAGAAGAGAAATATGAAGAAAGTGAAACAGAACATTTTTGAATAAGGTTTTTTTTAAGTTTTCTTTGGGGGGTGGGGGGGTGGGGGGTTTGGATAAACCGTCTGAGTAAATTCAAAGGCAATGGAAAAGCAGTCAAAGTAACCACAGCTCCTCTTCTACCTGCTCTCCTATGAGGTGAAGGAAAGTCATTTGAAGCAACCACAGCAGTCATAATGCTTACTTTTATAGTATGCATATTTCTATTTTAAAAAACACTGTGCAGTTCAGTGTTTTTTTCTTCACTCTGTCACTTATTCTGTTATTTTCACACACTTTTCTCCAGTCCACATTGTGTGAGCACTTTTGATTGAACCTTTTGATGCTGCTCTAACACCACAATTTCCCCATTGTGGGACAATGAAGGGATTTTTTCCTATTCCATTACATTATGGCTCCTACAGGTTGGTTGTTGCTGTCAAAGCATTTTGTACTCATCTTTTCTCACTGGAGGCTGTTTGTCAGTCTCTCTGATGACCTGTCGTCGTTACTCAGGGATAAAATATAGTTTGGGCTTTCCATACATAGATGTTAAGCTTTGAGTGATTCAGACCGTAAAAATTGACCAATCACCGCACATATTGTTAAAACACTTTACAGTACAGCATGTTATTGTTCATCTTTTAAGTGTTCACTATTATGTTATAGATTTTTGTTATAAGGATTTGTATGAACATGTTTTTCTATCATCTTTTTCGCCGCTGTAAACACCAGAATTTCCCCATTGTGGGACAAAGAGGGGATTTTGTTCTCTATTCTATTTCAGATAAAGCACAGCTGATCTACTGTATAGTAGCTGCTGTTGGTCTGAGGCAAATTTGATGTTGAATTATTGAAAAAAGATTGCTTTAGTAAAGCTCACAGAAGAGGATTACGGCCACTGAAAAAAAAAAAGTAAACTGATTTTTCAATTTTATTTCAGTTTAACATGGGAAAAAAGTCAGAATTCTGAGAAAAAAGTCAGAATTCTGAGATTAAAAGTCAGAATTCTGACTTTTTTCCCATGTTAAACTGAAATAAAATTGAAAAATCAGTTTACTTTTTTTTTTTTTTTCAGTGGCCCTAATCCTCTTCCGTACAGAAGGCTTGGTGTTTAAGGCCTGGAAATGTAAATATTAATAGCAGCTTTCAGGGTCTAACATGAACTAGTGGCGATTAATTTTGGTTATTTATTCTTTCAAGAGAATTCAAACTCAACCACAGAGGGTATTCCCCAGAAAACTGAACCGGAAATAAATTGCCAGAAAAAGTTTAAAATATTGACTTTATTAAATAAAGCTTAAGGGTCATTCACAATTTTCACAAGTGAACAAGTGTGTGTGTGTGTGATTTTCAATGACGACCTTTTCAAGTTATTATAACACATTTTACTGAACTTGGACATTGAAACTGATGTTCATGTAGATGTTTTATGTTACGGTTTATTTATTTTGAGAATGTTTTAATTATGCAAGTTTGTAAGGTTCAGCAATTTCACCTTACAGTAGACATGCATGTTCATCTTTTAGCACCAGTATCAAATTAAGCAGAATGTCAAAGCGAACTCAGGTTGCTGACTGGTGGATCTGGTCGGCTGTTATATGCTGGTCGGAGCTTGAAGCTTTCTTTCTGAAATGGGTTTTGGTACGATGACTTCATTCTCATAATTTTTTAACTTTATTCTCATAATTTAAAGACTTTATTCTTGTAATATTACAACTTTATTCTCATGTTATGACTTTATTCTCGTATTTAAAAAACAAAATCTTTATACACAGTCTAATACTCAGTCGTAGTTCAAAGGTTCTGTGCAACCTGCAATAAAATAGGGAAGGCAGAAATAAATGAAAAATTGTGCACTGCCCGAATGAACAGGGTCGTCTAAAGAGTATTTTGTACATTTGTTAAAATGTTGAAAACTGTAAATGACCCCTCACACAAACTGTAAAAGTATTGTTTAATAATGTGAAACAAAAATAGAATCAGTTTAAGAAAAATGAATTCAATTCCTTATAAAACTGGACATGACCTGAGCTGACACATTCACAGTGAGATATTATGTAGATGAACCACGACTCCACCAGAGGAGGAAGGTAAATAAAAACAAAAAACCCGCCTGCCAGCAGGTCCAAGTCAGCATTGTCTGGGTTAGTTAGAGAGAGGAAGACCGCACCGGATCAGAAGAGTTAAGGCCATCGCTCAGAGAGAAAGAAACTCAATAAATGTATGGAGCTAAATCTGGGCCATAAAGTTTGTTCAATTCAATTCAGTTTATTTATATAGCGCCAAATTCACAACACATGTCATCTCAAGGCACTTTACAGTTCACCAGTTTTCTATCTAAGGAAAACCAGATGATTGCATCGACTCATTGACTCAAATACAATCCTCACACTAAGCATGCTTGTAGCGACAGTGGAGAGGAAAAACTCCCTTTTAACAGGAAGAAACCTCCAGCAGAACCAGGCTCAGTGTGAGCGGCCATCTGCTGAGGCCCACTGGGGTTCAAGGAGACAGAAGCAGAGAAAAAGAAAAAAGAAAACAGTTTTGAAGCTGAACAAAAACAAAGGAGTTTTGAACTAAACTAAACTGAGTTTCACAAGTTAAAATTGTAATTAAATGTCAGAAACTACTTTTCAGATTCAAGTTATTAGTTTGTTTCTTTTTTGTTTCACCTGGCAATATTTCATTTAGAAATCAATAATTAGTAATTAGTGCACACTCATCTCAGTTTTTCCCAGTTTCAATTTTGTTTCAGTAAAAAGAAATTTAAAAACTTTATGGCGCCAATTTAGCTACAAACACAGAGGAGAGCAAAAATGTGGGCTGCTCAGTGTAGCAGTGGGTAGCACTGCTTCCTTACAGCAAGAGGGGTTCCGGGTTCGATTCGCGGCCCGGGGTCTTTCTGCATGTTCTCCCTGAGCATATGTGGGTTCTCTCCAGGTACTCCAGCTTCCTTCCACAGTTCAAAACCCCGACTGTTAGGTTCATTGGCTTCTCTAGATTCTCCTTAGGTGTGAGTGTGTGTGTAAATGGTTGTTTGTCCTGTTTGTCTCTGTGTTGCCCTGTGATGGACTGCCGACCTGTCCAGGGTGGACCCCGCCTCTCACCCATAGACAGCTGGAGATAGGCACCAGCAGCCCAGCAGGGATAAAGCGTGACGGAAAATGCACAGATTAAAAGTTTTTTCAAACATCTGTAAAATTTTACATCTTGTTTTTTTCTCAAAAACATTTATTTTTTTGCCAGTTCAAAGACATTTTTCTGAACAAACTTTATGGCCCCAATTTAGCTCCATACGGCAACAGGAGTGTCTAAAACAAGCTGCAAGAAACCAGCTGAAGTAATGGAAGCTAAATGGAAATTATTGATGGAACTTTCCACCCTGATGAAAAGCAGTAAAAAGTGAAAAAATGCAGCAAATAATAGTCCAGAGCAGGTAAAGCATCAGGCTGGCAGGTCCTTCAGCTGATTCCTGCCGTCTGACAAACATATCAGACTGTCTGCCTCTGGTCACCATCCAGCAGGAGCCTCCCTGTGAGGCGGGGGGGGTGTGTGTCAGTGCCGTGCTTTAGCAAAGTCCAGTTTTGTGTCCTCTGACATTTTTAAGATGCAATCTACTTGTTTCTGCAGCTCGTCGTCCAGCAGCGATGCTCCAACCACAAACTTATCCTGAATAAAAAGAAATCGACCCAGCGTGATGAAAACACACATTAACATTTTACATTAAAATACAGATAAAAGCAAACCTGGATAACTGAGCAGGATTTACGCACCTTTTTCTTTGAGGGAGGCGAAGCCACAGCAGGGTTAAAGGTCATGTCTTTGACGCTGTAGTCTGCAAACAGGTCCATTGGAGACCTGAACGAGTGAAAACATCTTTGCTAAGCCTGAACTGATGACACACTACTAATGATGAGTGCAACTTTAAAGTACACCCACCCCTGTTTGTAATTTAAGGGGTTTATAGTTTATTAACATGTTTTATTTGTACCTGCGGCAGAGCTCCAGACTGAGCGCTCCTGAGCCGTCACTGGGAGCTCCCCGACTCAAATGACGTGCAAAAAGCTGAACAACTGGGTGGAAATGTCTCTGAAAATACAGCAAGCCAAACATTTTCAGGTCAGACTCGTGTGTAAAGTTAGAAACCTGCAGCAAGTTTGTATTCATTCATCTTTGCCCTTTGGGCAAGTGACAATGTTTACTTGCCCAGTATAATGCTTGATAAATATAGTTCCTAATATTCATTTTCGTATATATATCAATGAAACATGTTTGTTTTTTTTAATGTTTTTTGTAATTCAGTAAGTTTCCAGGTTCCTGGTGTGTTTATGCATGCGTCAGATAATGAACTAGAGCCTCCATTACCGTGTTAACATGCTTTTCAATCCTTCCTCACATTCTTTTCAAACTAAACTTTGCTTTAAACTGTTGTGAAAAATATAAATTGTAATTTTAAAAATCTAAAACAAACTTGACAGGTTAAAAACTTAAGATAAATCACAAGTCAAGTCAATGTCACAAATGAATAACTTTTATTTTAGAGTCACGGTAAGTTTATACAAGATAATACTATTAATATAATGTAACTTTTCTAGAGAATCATTATACAGTTATTTTATTCAGGGTTTCCACAGTCTGACACCATTTCAGAATTCCCTGACTTTTAACTGACTCAGGATTAGTTTTCCCTGACAAAATAAATGCAGCCGTTTGTCATTTTGGTAACTACATCAAAATTACTGCTAGGTGGACAAAAATCAACCAGCTTTTTTAAATCATGCGAGAAGGTGTACAAAACGACAAAAATGGCGCCGGCAGCGCTTCTGGGTCGTTTTTAAGTGAATGTCTGTGATTTTAAAGTAATTTTGAGTGATAAATAATTTTTTTTTGCGATCATTGCACTTGCCTGCCGGGCAAATGCAATGAAATTTGTACTCTCCCAACAATAAAAACGACTCGCCCCGGGAGATTGGGCAATGGTAAACATGGAGCCCTGCCAACCAATGTTACACACCCTATTCAGAACCCTTAAGGACCAGCACCAGATACACTATAGAATCATTCTATCACCCCTTAAAGGCAGATAAATACTGTGGGTATAAACCACACCGGTCACACCTGGTTCCTTTAAAGCCTACTGCTCATTTTCTTCTGCTGGATTTATCCTCTTTGAATTCTAATGGGTTCAAAACGCATTTTATCAAGTCAGAGGAAGCGCTTCACAACTACAGTAAATCATTAACCCAGCCACTCGCTTATGGAGGTGAGCAACATTTCAGCCACAGCTGCAGCAACACTGGGCCATCTGAGCACCATCAGCAGGAGAAGAACCTTAACCAAGAACAACAATGAAGATGGGAAGATCAGGGTCTCCACTTTGCAACCCACTGCTCACTCTGGGCCGTCCGACAGCATTTCAACCAATGCTGTGAGCAGCTGTGGCTTTCTGAATGCAGTGGCTGAAGTTTGAGCCCAACAGGAACCCTGGCGTGGACGTACCTGAAGTGGGTGGAGCTCCCAGAGTGCAGAGTTCTGGGCGTTGCAATGCTCAGGTTCGTCCAGCTCTGGTAGGTAAAACCCGCTGCCCTGAATCTCGTTATCCAAAAGAAAGTCGCACTTGGGGAACGCCTGTGACATGATAACACAGCAGAATGAGGGACGACTAAAAGGCTGGAGCAGAGCGGTGATTTATTCAAGTATTTAAAAGAAATAAAAACAGACGCTCACTTAAATGATCAAACAAACTCACGTGCATAGTGGCTCGGTTTGCTGCAAGGATTCCAACGCTGGCGTTGGGCAGGACATGCAGACTGAGCGTGCTCAGACGTTTGACGAAGGCCATGGCCCTCTGGAGGGTCACCTGCTTCCTGCGGCGGGTCAACATAGCGTCCAGACACCGTAGCAAAATGGTGACGTCATCATTGGGAGCCCCTGAGACAGCCAGAGAATAAAGGTAACGCCACTGACTCCTGAGGTCGATGGGCTAAACTGGTAGCTTTATAAGAACTTAGAAAGCACCTGCATGAAGATGCATCAGAATCCTGTAAAGCTGAGAGTAGAAGTTCAGAGGGTCGATGTTCAGGGCTTCACCTGATGCACAGAAACAGCTGAATTTAGATGCCACTGGACTGTAACTGAAACACCACTGAAACCTACAAACAAGTCAGAAACCTTCAAACAGGACAGAAGGTAAACATGAAACATAGGCTACGTTCACACTGCAGCCTGAAGTCACCCAAATCCTATTTTTTGGCCCACATGCGACCTGATCTGATCTTTTCATGGCAGTCTGAACAACACAGATCTGATTTTTTCCAATGCGACCCAGACCGCTTGGCTCTGTGGTCCTGAATCCGATATGAATCGGATCTTTTCAAATGCGACCTGTGTCTGAACGGCCAGGACAGATTCATCCGACCTGAACGTCATTAATACCCGACAAACATCACTATTATGCAGAAGTGGCAAGAAAATCAACCAACAAAGGGGATGATGATGCGGAGAGCAGTATTTATGTTTAACCTTATTGAAAAGATTGTGTTTTTATGGTTGGAAAACACCGCTAGATGCGTGCCGGCACGACCATCCATGTTTACTTCCAGAAAAAAAGAGCACGCTGGCCTAGGCTGTGACGTCCTCTACTGCGCATGCGGGACACTTGCGGTGTATTAATGCTGTTCACACAGGAGATCACATACAAGTCGTTTTCTCTCCTACCCTCCAGCAGGCGGTTCAGGTGCCTCCGGACCAGAACCAGCAGACTAAAGAACAGCTTTTTCCCCAGAGCTGTCTGTTTACTGAACTCTAACCCTCACTGATGGTCTCTACTCTCCTTTCTCACACCTACCACCATTTGGCTATTCTGTTTTTTTTAGACTGTAATATTCACCTGCACTCCTGACTGTTACTATTGTAACAACTGTTTACATGCATCTTGCATTACTCACCTCCGACTGCTTATATTTGCACTGCCAACTGCTTATTCACATTAGCAGTTGTTTACATTTACATCTGCAATAACGTACTTTAACTGTAATATGCAATTACTTTCCACTGCACTTTAATTTAGATAGCTTCTGTCTTTAATAATTCATTTTATAGTAAAACCCATCTGTATATTATGCTATTGTACATAACTGTAAAAACCTTTTTTTTAATAGTAATATCCATCTGTATATTATATTCGGTACATATCCAGCTGTAAATTTAGTTCATAACACTAGTGATCTATATATTATATTCATTATTTATAACAGTATTGATCTTTATACTCATTGAATAGAAACCCACGGCCTGTATTTATGGAACCATTATTTATCCTGCACTTGCTGCTATTGCACTTCTGGTTAGACCTGAACTGCATTCCGTTGCCTTGTTCCTGTACCTGTGTAATGACAATGAAGTTGAATCTAATCTAATCTAATTTGATCTTATCTAATATATTTGGAAATATGAACGCCAACGGCAAAACAAAATCGGATTTCGCAAAAAAATCGGAACTGAGCATCAAGGCCTGAAGTGTGAACGTAGCCAATATTCTTCTGCTCCCGTTATCGACTGCACCAGCATTGTTACAATATGTCAGAGTAAAATCAGGCAGAAGAAGCTGAATAAACAGCATTCAGCTGTAGGACAGCCTTTCAAAGTTCTGATCAAGAACAGCCTGACCTTGCCCAGAAAGGATGGTGAAGACTGTCTGGATGCAGTGTAGACTCTCCCGATTGGTCAGATCCTGCACAGCCCAATGATCAAACAATCAGCTGATGATGCAGAACACAGCGTTCAGTTGGCTTCATGCTAAATACTTACTCCGGATTGGATGAGGTTCTGCAGCACTTTCAGCAGATCATCAAAGAACTCCAGGTTGATCAGGTGAGCAAAACTGGAAGGGAATAAAATCACGTTCATGACTACAGAAGCACGACGGCATCAGAGCCACACAGCAAACAGATTCAAGCCCCGTCCTCTAGGGGCCGCTCTACTGCAAATTTTACATTTTTTATTTTTATTTTGCTTCAAACGCACCTGATTCAGGCAAATTATGGTTTTTGTTTTTAATGAAACATGTTTCTGCCTTATTTTGAACAAATATCATAAATCCCTAACTAATATTACATTATAAGGATTAACTTCTTACATAATAAACTACACATGTGGAATAAAGCCAACAAATGTCGTCTAATTTATTAGTAAAATTTAAACTTCATAGCTGATAACTGGGCCTTACAAGAATTTTTTTTATTTTTTTTTACATTTTAGCTGGATTGACTGTTACATCCTTCTTGCCCCTGCTCATGTTTTATGCATACAACCCATTATTTTATTTATGAAATTATTCATGATTGTAATTTCAATTTCAAATCCCACTCATGTGTTGACTGGTCTCTGACAAGTTAAATCTCCTTATTTTGCCAAAGAAACTTATTTTTGGTGTAAAATGTTTTTTGTCATCTCTATATTCTGTCATTATTATTATATTTCTTTTTTTGTTTGTTTTATTTTTCCAGCTCTTTTTTACTGTCATTACACTGTCTTAAGTACAGCGCAATGAAATTCCTGCTCTGCATTAACCCCTCCCCTTGGGGAGCAGTGGGCTGCCATTGTGCGGCGCCCGGGAAGCAGTGTGGGGTTAAGGGTTTTTGCTCAGGGACCTGGAGTGGCAGTGGGTTTTTACCTCACATTCTCTGGATTCCAAGCTCTATGCGCTAACCACTAGGCCACCACTCCCCCCATTTAATTTAATATTTAATTTCCATTTTGGTTAAATTAAGTATTTTTGAACTAAATTGAAATGCTCACTTTGATGATTCGTTTGTTCCCTTTCTTCCATGGTGGATCATATTTTCTAAATTCTATTGATCAGGATTTTTAACTCTGCTGCCCTCATCCTGAACTCTGAGCTGACTTCACTCAGTTGTTAGCTTTTCAGAAATCATGAATATATCACAAAACCGGATCAGTTGACTCTGATCAAATCCGTATATGGTTCGTTCTTTGGTAACAAAAAAACAAAACAAATGAAAATAAAATACGGTTTTTGTTTTAATATGTAGCGGTACCGGAATGAAGTAAGTCGCCAAAGAAAAATCATTTACAGTGGATGAAGATGGCACCAAAACAAACCATTTCTAAACAAAAGGCAGTGGCTGCACTTGAACAGTTTTCTGCTTTGATTATTGAACTTTTTGGAAGAGGAAAAACACACTCTGAAATCAGTGATGCTTTGAGCCGCCATGGAGCTCCACATTACTCGTTTCCATTTTGGTAGCGCTAACTGAAAAAGTTCTTCTTCTTGTGGATTGTAATGGCGGTTGGCAAGAAATTGAAGGCGTACATTACCGCCACCTACTGGTAACTAAAAAAGTTACCGGTATGTGTTGGAAGTTCAGGTTTTCAGTTCCGGCTTCCATAAGGTCCATTGAATTAATAACAAAATAAAAGTTTGTCTTTGGTTTAACCATTGGAGTTTAAAAAAATCCAAAACGTACCCTTTTTTCATTTTTGCAAATGCCGTTTTTCTAATTTTATTTTAAAAACGGAAAAACAAAAAACCACATGCTTGTTTTGTTTTTTCGTTTTTGTTTTGAAACGAAAAAAACAAAGAACGAACCATACAAGGATTTGATCAGAATACCTGCTCTCTACTCAGAACAGATTTAACCCAGGGTCTGAAACGGGGCCAGGAGCTGAATACACCTGCAAGTCAGAGAGTGAGTCATACTTGGCCAGCCCTTCCAGGACAGCAGGGAGGAGAACAGATCTCTGAGCTTTCTTCAGGATCCTGAAGTAGGTCAGGAAGACGATGTTCAAAGTCTCTGTGTGCTGCAGGGGGGAACAGAAATTTAAAATAGTAATGTAGCCTTTCTTCCTGATCTTTCCTAATTTAACAGCCGAACAAAATCTTACCAGCTTAATCTTCTTCTCTTTGTTTTCTGAAGCTTCGGCCTCCAAAAGCTCCTTTTCCAGCTTTTCCTCCGCCTTCTTCCACTGAACAATGCACAAACACACAATGCTTTTTACATACTGCCCCCTTGTGGGAAAAGTGATATAGAGCTAATCATCTTTTATTCCTTCATCATTTCTCTTTCATAGCTGATCTATGAAACAGGGAAGTTTAATTTTGTGGTAACCTGAACAGTTTATTACCGTGTGCTCAGCATGCATATGGAAGAAAAACAGTCTCATTGGAATCTGCCTTTTTTTTTTAACACCGAATTTTGAACACCGAATTTTAAACACTGAAAATTTTTAACACCGAATTTTAAAGACTGATTTTTTTTAACACCGAATTTTAAACACTGAATTTTTTTTAACACCGAATTTTAAACACTGAATTTTTTTTAACACCGAATTTTAAGCACTGAATTTTTTTTAGACATTAAATTTCTTACACTCAATCTGCTGGTATCTTTATCTGGTAAAAATTCAGCTGCAAAAAATTCAGCCGCAAAAGTGTTGACCTTTTGGTGAACTCAAGCCAAAGCAATCTACACTTGATAGAGTGGAGCAGCTTCTAGCCAAGGAAATTAGTTCATTTAGTCACATGAAACAACGGCTGTGCTCAGCGCTGTTTCCGGCTGAATGAGGAATTATTTTTAGTTAAACAGAATTACTAAACGTCAGTTTTTCTTCCACACATGTAGACCTTAACAGATCTGAGAGACTAACATGCACTTTTGATGGGGAACAGATTTATATCTAAGATAGCACCTAGCATGTGTTGAATCTTTTAGACACACTTCACACCACATGCATCTTTGCATGTTTGCGTTAAATAACCAAAAACAGCTAAAAAAGAACCTTTAAATTGTTACTGAACCTCCAGCTTTGTTTACCTTCCTTTGCATCCTGGACAGGTTCTTTTTTCTCTCTTTGTTGGTCATGAACTTCTTCTTGGGGGCCATGGCCTCCAGATCCCTTTTCATCTCCACCTCTTTGATCCTCAGACTCAGCAGAGTTCGAAGCACCTGGTGAGGAGGAGGGAGAGAACCAAGGCAGAGGAAAAAAAAACGTAAATAAACCCAAGTCTATAAAAATGTCAACAATTCAGGTTCAGGAAGATGGGCGCTAGCATCTCCACCAAACCAACACATCCTTTTACAGACTGATTGGACTTCTACCATCAGGCTAAAGCTGCAGAAGCATCCAGAAATGATGGTTCCTTAACAAGCATGCTTAGTGTGAGGGATTGCTGAAGAGTCAATGAGTCGATGCAATCAGCTGGTTTTCCTTAAACAGAAAACTTTGAATCAATCTGACTCGATGATCTGGTTGACCTGTAAAGTGCCTTGAGATGAAGTGTTGTGAATTGGCGCTATATGAATAAACTGAACTGAATTTACCCAGAATGTGTCTGAGGATCATAATGAACTGAACTCGGAACCAAAACGGCCCCAGGGCCACGTCAGATTGTCCTCACGGTCCAACATTATCAGTCCCTCTCGCAATATTCAACTTTTTAGAGAGACTCCTACTCTGGCAACATTATACTACTGATCTCCTCCCCCAAAAGCACACAAACCGAGGGGACTTATGGGAAATAGAGGGAATTTTAAGACATTATCGTTGCAGCAAAGAATAACAGAAATTTTTATGTAATCCAAAAATAAACTTTGAATAACTACTTAATCAAAAGAAACAAAAAAAAACATTTTGAAGTAACTTAGCTATTGTCTTATATTTCCTTTACATTTATTTTTTATAAATTATTTTAATTTTTACAGTTTTCCAATATTTGTTCAGATTTCTCTTTTTTCAAAATGGATAAAATTCTCATCACTTCTGTAGGCGGGCTTTCCTCTGAGGTGAGGAAGAGAGAAGCATTTCTATTGGTCTGCGTGGGCCAAGGCAATATTCTATTGGTCAATAAGTGTGTCAATCAGGATTGAAGAGAATGAAAAACGCAATCTGAAAAAAATGCAATTCATAAAATCAACCTAAAAAAAGAGAAATCCGAATAAAAAAATGTTTTCAGTATAAAATCTTTTAAATATATTTTAAATATTTGAAGACAAAATGGGAAAATAAATTTGTAAAACAAACAAAAAAAAAATCAGAGAAAAGTAACAAGCAAAACCTTTTTGATTGAGAGCATTTTCAAACTCACCTCTGGATGGCTTTTTTTTTAATTTAATTTCCATTTACAAAACCTGTTCTTTGCAACAATAATGAAACAAAATGTACTCAACACTTGAGACAAAAGGTTGCTTTAGTCTGTTTTGGGAATTGTTGTTTCACATGTTTAATTATTTAGTTATTTATTCAAGTTGTTTGATTATAAAAACTGGTAAACAATAAGGGTTTGAACAAATTACAGCATCTGTTAGGAGTATAAATCCTAAATGATTCTCATCCTTACTGAGTGCTTTCAGCTTCTCTACTGAGACACAAGTATAAACTGCTCCTAAAATGTTCGTCTGTGAATTCTAACATATTTAAATGAAGCTTTTATGATGTATAAAGACTGAAGTCATATTCCTTGCTTGTTCACAAAACTTGACCAATGAAGCTGATTCTCATTAATATAGATCTAGAGGCTTTTTATTTCTAGAACACTTTAAAACAACCTAAAGAAGCCAAACACACATTTATAAATATATATAAACATATAATCCATGAGTGATCTGTTACCTCTGGTTTGATGTTGTAGTTGAGGCTCTTTACGAGGCCAGAGATGACCCTGACGGTAGCCAGGGATGCCCCGCCCATTCTGTCATCCTGGAAGAGCTTCTTAAATGCGTCACAGCACATGTCCGACACCTGAAACAATTACAGACCCATGAATACTTTCACACAATCTGCCTCCATCTGATCTGCAGTCAGGAAGTATTTGAACATCCTGCCACTTTGGAAATTCTCCCACTTAGAAAAAAACTATTCCCATCTAAGGAAAAAGAAATCAATATAGAGTGATTTCTGGATTTTATTTTTTAGATTCTGACTCTGACAGTGGAAACCTACGATGAAGATTTCAGACCCCTCCATGTTTCCTAAGATCTATCTGAATTACGAACACGAGCTCTGAGCCCATCCTGACCTTCTTCAGAGGGTCGTTCATCAGAGGAACGAGGACGACGATGATGTTGTTGTGGAAGTTGAAGTGCGGCATGGTGAGCAGCAGCTCACACAGGCAGCGGATGGACACCTCCGCCAGGCCGCGGTACGACTGGAAGCTCACCGCCTGGACTCGTTTCCTCTTCTTCTGCTTCCAGTCTGGGAATCCACACAGGGTGTGAGTGTCTGCGTGTATCTGTGTGTGCAGAGCAGCTGTGTGGCGGCGGTAACGTACCTTTGATGGTCTGTTCCAGGTCTTCCAGGTAAAACTTGTATTGGCTCACAAGGCTTTCCTCAAACTCTCTAAGCTGCTGCGTCTCTTTCTTCACCTACAGGGAGACCAAAATCCACCGGCTGTGTAAAACATGCTGCAACCAATCAGATATCACAATCTGTGCTCATCTGACCTTGGTGCTTTTCTCTGCAGCGGTCAGAGGTCGGATCTTGTAGGTGGGGGCGATGTCCTTAAACACCTCCATGAGAGAAACCATCACCATCTTCCTCACCGAAACGGCAACGCTTGGGTCAGACTCCATCATCATCCCCCGCAGCTCCTTCATACGCTTGGTCTGCACAAAATACCACCACCACCATCATCATCATCATCACGTTCCTGTTCCTCAGCTTCTCCAGAAAAATAGGTGCACTACACTCAGATTTCTGCTGATGGAAGTTTTCTGCACCTACTTAAGTTTCTTCGGTGATGAGAAACTCTTTGCTTTGGAATAGGGCTGCGAAATTAATAGCATTTGCAATATAATCGCAATTAATAAAATAACAATACAAAAAACACACGATTCGATTCATATCACGATTTTTGACCCACGATTCGATACATGCAACAATTTTTTTTACATTTGAATATTATTTTATTTAAATAAAATATTAAAAAACATTTAACATATTGTAAATATCCAGAACGTATTTGAACACAGAAAAACCACAATTAGAGACATAACCAAAAATGTAAGATTTATCTCTTGTCTTATATTGTCTAACAAAATAAAGCTTTTTAAAAATAAAAATAATTGTACTGTGCTGCCGTGTTAACCAAAAATGAACTTAAAAAGCAAATAAACGCAGCTTCATCAAACCTGTTTGCTTTATTTAAAACTATATTTTTTTAGGAACAACAGCATCATGTCCACTTTTCCACTACAGAGGAAAACACCATCTTACTGGGAACAGATGTGGCTGGGATCCACAGAAACTAAACTTTGATATTCTTTTTCAGAAACAGCATCATGTCCACATTTTCAGGTGAGAGGCTTGCTGTCTGTGCTGTTACAGGATGATCCCCAGCAGTGGATCATCCTGGACAAGCTTGTGTGAGGGCAGCTGCAGCATCTTCTGCCTATCCTTCAGTACAGCTGCGCTCCGGTGGAAAAAAGTGATTATTTTCCTGATTCTACCAAGGAGTCATGACATCTGGTTAACTCCCATTCCTTTCTGTGCTGCCAGATTAACAGTGTGGGCGAAGCATCGAATATGCGGGGAGAGTGCGGCTGCTATGACCGCTTTTACAATGTTTCTTGCGTTGTCACGGGAACGGGGGCGTATGGTCTGCTGAAAAGCCTTTCAGGATTTCAGATACAAGAAACATGGCACGCGTTTGAAGGACATGGTTTGCAATTTGCCACTGGTCCGTAATATAATGTGCGGTTATGGTAATATAACTGTCTGTTGCACGGGACGTCCATCCATCAGTGGTAATAGCGATTGAGTCAGCGCTGCTAAGTTCTCCCTCCACTCTGGATTTTGTTTCCTTGAAAAGTTTTGGAAGCACATTTTGAGAGAAATGTGTCTGATTGGCGCTTCATAACGAGGCTCAAGCACATGAAGTAAATGCATGTCTGTGGCAGGCAGTTGTGAGTCGGCCGACCAGCTGGGAATATTTGGTGAGTGTTGCGATCCCACCTTCCTTCACCGCGAGACACGATCGTGGCTCAGAGTGTCGCAATTTCGATTTCAATAGGGGTATCGTTACAGCCCTACTATTTTCATATCTTAGAGGCATGGATTTTTAATCACACTATATTAAACAAGAGTAAGAAACTAAATTTTTTTCTCCAGCCCTTAAGGTCGTGTTTAAACGCTTGAAGAAACATAGGGTTGCAACTAGCTCGCAGATCCATACAAGTAGAAGAAGAATTTTTCACCCAATGGTTACAATAAAGTCCTGTAACAATGGACTCTGGGCAAGCGAGCTCTCAAAAACCAAAAGCCTTGGATGAAACCTCTACAAGCTTGACGTTATTGCAAAGGAAAATCCAAATAAAAATCGCAATTTTGGAGAAAAATAATCGCAATTTCAATTTCTGGCAACATTGTTCAGCCCTACTTTGAACCTAAACATGTGATTCTAATTTAGCTGGTAGAATAAACCATATCAGACTCCTTATGGCCTTCCTTAAAAGCAGCCCTCATGGTTTGGCTCCATTTGTGGAGCTCTGCTGCGCCGTTGGTCTTTGTGTTGCACTTGGCCTTCAGGTAGGAGTGCAGTCTAACTCTTTTGGTCTTTACCGGCTCTTTGGTTTTTCAGCTCTCATGTCTGCAAGATCCACTTTCATGAATCTTCTGCTAGGGTTGCTTTTATAGGGTTTGTTATTTCACTCTACAACTTTTAATCCTGGTTTAAGTTCGGTAAAATGAAGCAGAATATTCAACCTTATGTTTTCAGATATATATTTAGAGGATTTTTCCTCAAAATCAGGCAATTTATCAGTAAAATAACAAATTTAAAAACTAAAATAACAAATGTTAACGTTTGTTAATCGACTCTGAATCTCGATCTGTTAAAAACAGGCTCTTCCTCATCAGCTGCTCCACTTACGTTGTTCAGCGGGTCTGAGATGATGGCTGAAGCCAGGCTGGCGATGCGTTGCTTCTTCATTTTTAGTGTATGGACTCTGTAACGTTCCCTCTCCTCCGGCGTCAAGCCCATATAGCTGGATGAGGCGCCCTCTGCATCAGAAGAACAACACACAGCTGTTATCTGGGCTCCTATTAGATTTAACTATAGTGGTGATGGTGGAGTGTATCTGGATCTATACTATGAGAATTTACACCCATGCCATTAGAATATTGTTAAAATACTAAAAAGTAACCCAACTTTATGAACCAAGGAATGATTGTTTATCCACTGCCTGAATCCACATGGCAAACGTCTGAATTGACTAAAAGGACAGTAATCAGAGGAACATGGGTAATAAGGTGAATAAAGGATTAAAACTGTGTGGTAATCAGGTCATTATTTTAGTGGAAGTTTCCCAGAAGAAAAAAAAAAAAAAAAAAAGAGCCTTGAATAAAAACTGTAATGACGTCATACTTCTATCCTTCCTTTGTAATCATGGCAGCTTTGCTCATGTGTTATACAGAACATCACATCAATGCCTTTGCACCAGGTCTCTTCTACACGGTTTATGTTGATCACTGCTGCACTTTATAAATAGAAATATTAACTTTCACTGCTAAGCTGCTTTTCATTCGCCGTCGGTAAGCTGTATGTAGCCAAATTTCATTTTGTATACACTGTGTGTACGAAATGACAAAGTTTGTCTAAGTCTAAATAACTGGAAAGGGAGGCGGTCTCCTCTCTGCTCTGACAGCATTCAGGATGAAGTGTCTACCTGTGAGACAGCAGCTCTGCTATCTCCGCTCTGCTAACTCCGCTCTGCTAACTCCGCTCTGCTAAGGGCTGAAATAATCAATTGAATTAATCAATCACTGAAATAATTGCCAACTAATTTAGCTATCAAGTAGGAGTATATAGACTGTAAAACATAACTTTAGCTGCCAGAGCAGTAATTATACAAAATTTTATCTTTTAAGATAAAAAAATATATGTATTTTCTGTCCGTCTGTGCTTTATCCAGATCTCCTAAAGCGGAAAAGCTTTAGTTTCACCAGGTTTAATGTCGTAAAAAGCGCTTCCTTTAACGAACATTTGGTTATCTGGTTAATTGAAAAAAGTAAATCGACAGACAAATTTAAAAAATATTTGTTAGTTGAAGACCTAAGCAGAACGATTGCCGCTTCCACATGAAGTCACTAAACTCACTAAAAAAAGGACTAGTTTCGTCTCCAGCCCCTTTTTATAGTACCGCAATGAAGAGAGAAAGTTGCTAAGAGTTAGCTTCCTACACCAACCAGCAGCTTTGCAGACGGACAGAAGCAGCAGTGTTGTTTTTATAAATCCATAATATTTCACATTTCACAATATTTGAATGAATTTTAAGCTCTGATTAGAATTACATGTACGCTCTACCATATGCTGAATATTGTTTAAATATTTTATTATCTATCCTGAAGGTGTGGAGACTATTTTGCTGTGGATGTGCTCTCTTTATCCTCTGACATGGGAGCTGGCTCGGAGCTCGTCTGCCTGGCTGCTTCCTGGACGAAGCCGCATTTTACAGCTGCTTTTTCTATGTCTGCTTCTGTCTCCTTGAACCCCAGTCGGCCTCAGCAGATGGCCGCTCACACTGAGCCTGGTTCTGCTGGAGGTTTCTTCCTGTTAAAAGGGAGTTTTTCCTCTCCACTGTCGCTACGAGCATGCTTAGTGTGAGGGATTGCTGAAGAGTCAATGAGTCGATGCAATCAGCTGGTTTTTTCCTTAGATAGAAAACTTTGAATCAATCTGACTGTATGATCTGGTTGAACTGTAAAGTGCCTTGAGATGACTTGTGTTGTGAATTGGTGCTATAGAAATAAACTGAATTGAACTGTGATGCACCATCATCAATTACATCTAGTGGAGACCTCAGTTATAGAAAACTCCTGTCAGACTGCAGCTCTTTCTGGAACTCTGGTTTAATCAGCTGCTGTAGGACAACTTTCTATTTTTTAAAAGGTTCATTTCAGTGCAGCTAAACTGCAGACTACTGTTCTTCATGGAACCTGAACATCAGCTAATCATCACACCCAGACCACCATGTTGTAGCAAGTCCCACCTTCCTCCTGCTGCTCTGCTGTTTCTGCAGGTTCTTCATCATTTTCTTCCTCTTCTTTGTCCTTTGGATGCGGTTTAACTGTTGGGGACAAACAGAGCCTTCATGTTTACAGGTGGCTGCAGTCAGTCAGACGCTGAGTAAATGTGAAAGCTACCTTTCTCCATGCTCCTCGGGATCACTCCACTTTTGTCTTTAATGGGAAGCAGCTGGATCATCTCCTTCTCCTCCACCCTCGCCATCTTTCTAGGAACCTTCTCGTAACCGCGGACCACGTCGGCGCTCCTCTTCTTGCCACTGTGGACTGGCCCACTGGCAATAAAAAGTCAGACATACCTCAGTCTCCATCAGCTCAATCAATCGCACATTGACCATATCAGTGTGTGCGTTACCATGACGACAGGTCTCTGGTTATAAAGGAGGCTTTCTGGGCCATGGCGGTCAACTGTTCCAAGTCTGCATCATCCATCATGTCTGTGGGAAGGCTGTCCAGGAACTCTTCCTCCTCCTCTTCCTCTGTCAGATGGATGAGAACAGTCTTACTGACGAACTAAAGGGACGCATGCGTTCAAACTTAGGCGCAGCTCACCTGGTCTCTTCCTGTACGTCTCCAGGGGGCGGGGCATCTGCAGGCTGGCGCCCTTCATGGCCTGCCGCAGCCTCTTCTGCTCCTTGCGCTGCTTCTTGGCCACATTCTGCTGCTTCATCTGTCGGTTCTTCATCTTGTTCTCCAGCTTCATGCCGCTCGTCTTCAACAGACGGCGGAACGTCGGCCGGCGCTTCTTTGAGCGTAGCTGTGGGGCGGGGCACAAAAGAACACGTTTCCATTTCAGCAAGACGCTTCTAATAAAGTGCAACCTTTTGAATTCTGAGGATTTTAGAAGCAACTTCAGCCAAAAAAAATATATAAAACAAATTTATTGAAGAATTTTTCTCTCAGCTTTCACTTCTAAATGGAAACCTCTAACAGTTTGTGATGGTCCTGGTCAGAATTCTGACCTCATCAGATAAAAAAAGAGAAATACGATCAAACTTTTCTAATAAACCAAGCTACATAAAAAGTGATAAAAGTATGGAGTCATTTTTATCTCTTACAAAAGAAATGAGATTTATTTTGAACATGATACAAATATAAAAAAAATAAAATAGTGCACAGTAACAAGAAGTGCATAAAAAAGAAGAGAAAAATACAGATATTTGTTTCCATTAACATATCATGCTCAAAAATGGGGTAGGAAGAAGTGAAAACTTATTAACTCCTACCTGTTTTGTTTTCAACAAAAAACAATGAAAACCCAACAAAAGACTCTATTTTTTCCTTTTCTTTTTATTTTACTAAACATCTTCACTAAAATTGTAGAAAATAGGATTGAAGAAGTTCAGGTAACTTTTTAAAACAAAGTTTTTAGAGCCGGCGTGTCAGGTGGACCTGTCGATTGCACAATTAAGCCACAAACGGCCCAAAATCGTGCCAAATATATATTTTATCTCATAAGTCTAATTAGAGTCAAATAGAAAAAAAATTGTCAAAATGTGTTTTAATTTCAATAAAAAGTGGTGATTGCAAATGTAGTGGGACAAAAATGCGCTCCATAAAAACAAGCGTTTGTATTGGAACTGAAGTGAAGAGAACATGATCTACAAAACGTCATCTGCATTTTGTAAAAACTCAATCTACAAAAAAAAAAAAAAAAAAAATGAAAATAATAGAAATTTAATAAAGATGAAACCTGTAAAAAATAATTAGCTTCAAAAGTTTTGAACAAAGAAAAAATACATACAATTTTTTGTCAGTATGTTTTTCTAGATTACATTCATTTCAACATTTTTATTTACAAAACGTGTTCTTTGCTTGCAAAAATATTTGGAACAAAATTCTCTCCATAACGCCTATTTTGATCTTCATTAAGGAGGAAAGGTGTTTTTCTTTCAGAGTTTTTGACCTACTTCATGCTGACAGGAAGGTTCTGTTCAAGTTATCTATTGAATTTACAGCTCTGCTAATAACAAAGCAGTATTTGTATTGTTAAATACTCAACTAATAATGTGTATGATACATATATCACTTTGTATGGGTTAGTTTGTTGCAATTCTCTCCTGAGTAGGGGAAGGAAACCTCAACCAGAAAAGCAACCTCTAAACGATAATAAATATGGGTCTAATTCCAACACCTAGACGGGCAATTAGTTAACCACAAAGCAGATTGTTTCAAACTGTTTTATCATATAAATATATTAAAGCATTGTATGTTTAAAGTGTTTACTTTAGATATATTTTTAGCAAATTATTGTATGTCTGAGCCTGGTTCTGCTGGAGGTTTCTTCCTGTTCAAAGGGAGTTTTTCCTCTCCACTGTCGCTACAAGCATGTTTAGTTTGAGGGATTGCATTTGTGTCAATGAGTCAATGCAATCAACTGGTTTTCCTTAGATAGAAAACTTTAAATCAGTTTGACTGTATGATCTGGTTGAACTGTAAAGTGCCTTGAGATGACATGTGTTGTGAATTTACACTATAGAAATAAACTGAATTGAATTGCAAGAAAAGGAAAAACATCAAAGGCAAAAGGTGCGCCTCACAGCTGTGTGTGTTTCTGAAGCAGAGACCTGAGATCACTGCCAACAAAACTATGGAGGAGTGTTCAGGTCCTCAGAGTGATAGGATAATACTGCCTCTGATAAAGTCAGACACGGTGCGACCCTGACTGACCCAGATCCATCAGAACCGGACCTTCTGTTAGCTGCAATCATTCCCCTGATCAGCAACCGGCATCTTTTAAACGCAATTAAAACCTTCAGTGAAGTTAAAGCTCAGAACTTTCCATCGGTTTTAATTCTTCCTGATCCTGACCGTCAGGAGCTTAGTCAACTAGAACCGGAACTTGCATATAATCCTAAAGCTAACAGGTCGTCTCTCTCTCTCACCGGGCCCATGGCGGCAGGAAGTCTCCTCTCTTCTCCTCTCCTCTTGGTTCTTAACAACTAATGCTGCCTGTTAGGGTAGAAGTTACAGATTTAATGCTGAACCAACACGTGTGTAGGATCATGCACACACAGTCAGGGAAACCGACTGACCCGGAAACTAAACAGAAAGGAGTGCGCCAGAACAGCGCCACTTGGCGGGCGGAGGACCGCGGTTAAAACAAACAGTCTAAACAGGGAAGGAACTCTATCAGCATATTATTATTGGCCGATTTATTTTGAAATACATTTTAGAATTTTTTTTTACTCTGTTTAACAGTTTGGTTAAGGAAAATAAGCAATTTTTATCCTTTATTTCCAAGAGTACAAACCAAAATGTTGTAAGCAAGCACATATGAAAGATCTCAGAAAACATCTGCTTTGTTTTTTATTTTTTGTGTCTTAGTATTTTCTGTAGCTTTTATCACTGTAATACTTTTACTCATTCTGCGTTCTGTTCATTGTTGCAATAAATTTATAGGGGAGAATGAAATCCTGGCCAGCTCACCAGGGGAGTGACAACCTAGTGATGGAGCTTGGAATCCTGAGGTTCTGAGTTTGAAGCCCACAAACACAGACTGACACTGTGGCTCCCTGAGCAAGACCCTTAACCCCACACTGCTCCCTGGCAGTAGGCTCCCATGATGGCAGCCCTCTGCTCCCCAAGGGGATGGGTTAAATGCAGAGGTATATTTATCCTATGTGAGATCAATAAAGTTCAATTATTTTATTATTATTAAAAACTTGAAATAATATAAAAAATGTAAACTGATATGCACAAAACAGAAATATACAATCACTCTAGCAAAGGGGAGGGGGGTCATTACTGTAGTCCACCCTATACTTAAGCTGTTCAGCTTGGCCGTACCATTCTCTACCAAGGCTGCAAGTGGATTAAGTTCACTGTAAAAAAAGAAATAAAAAACTTGAAAAGCTGCAAAAGTCCTTAGAGATAACCTCAGCCTTGAGATAAGCAAAATACCAAATACTTTTAGCAGTCGGTTTTATAAAATTGATCAACTAAAACAGCTTCTTAGGTCTGGTCGTATCCGTTCCTTCCAATGCCTGGATTTGTAGAATAACTGTATGTTTTTCTTTTTTATTAGCTTAGTTTTTAATATTAATCAGATGCTATTATTAGTTACTCAATAGATAATTAGCCTTCTTACCAAATACTTTTTTTTAAACTTTACTTGAGTAATTCTTGGTTTGCTACATTTTGAGTGAAAATATGTCGAAGTAGTGCTACTCTACCGACCTCTGATGACCTATAACCTTTAAGGGCGACATCAAAAAAGTCTGAATAATGTACAAGCTTACTGTATTTAATAGAACAAAATCCGCTCCATGGCTTTCTCTTTACTCCCAAACTCATTTTAAAACAAATCTCTGACTGAATAAATTACCTGCATTTAGATGAACATGTTGAAATGTTAGTCTTTTCATATATATATGTTTACTTCCAATTCTTTCAAGAACATAAAGAAATGATAAAACATCTCACCAGTCGACATCTGACATGCAGTTCACGCCGCAGGTTGATGCTCAATGTGGCATTTTGTTTTCAAACTTATCTAATAGAAACTGACAGAACAGGTTTTCCATGACAGGAATCAATTAGAAAAATAGAAACTTTATATTTGCTAAATTTGTTGTCCAGCAGTTTGGTACCCATGGAGCTTCTCCTGCTCCACATCTGCTAAAACTCCATTTACCTTCTCAATGTTTCCGATTATCCTCAAAGTAGATGAATTAAACCATCTGATACATATTGGTATTTTGCACAATAATACCCAATATTTTTCTTCCAAGCTTATAAACAGTTCAAAACAGAGCGCCTTACATCTGGCTGCTTACTTTTTAGCAGCCAGAAATCGTTGAAAGAGCAAAGATTTAGAGCAGCTCCAGAGTCACATGTGGCTCTGATATCACAGAACCAGAAATTATTTTGATGGTCGAGGCAATAAGAAAGGTTTTAAAAAATATCAGCACTGAATTTCTACAACAGCGGGGTCGCAGTGGTACAAGGCTTTTAAAAGATATTTAATCTCCTTTAGCTTTAACTGTGGGGTTGGTATTTTTAGGAAGGCTAAATGTTCATCATTATGTTAACCCATGATATTTATAATGGAATACTCAGCTTGCCTTATTCTACAAAACTCTGAGTTTTTCTTGTTGTAAATGTACATTATGTTTTTCTTCTGATTTCATAAAATAGAAATAATCAAATCTTGGTTTAACTTAATGCATTTGGCAAAAATAACTGTAAAACACAGTGTGGACTTACATTGAAGGCAACCAGACTTTTACAGATTTTCTAAGATATAGATTTTCAATTACAGCTGCTCACAATTCAGCCCTTAACACCTTTTTTTTCCTCGAGCCCCTGTACTTTAGAAAAACCACAGCTGGATGGATTGGCTTTGTTAGATTTATTCATCTTTTGAAAAAGTGAAAAATATACTTTATACTTTATAAAACACATTCAAATGAGGCCTCAGAATCAACATAATTCAAATTGGGAGTACAGACTAAACAAAACATCAGAAAAGGATGTCCTTGTTGTGGAAAGAGAGGTCTCCATGGCAACAACACTGTGGAAAAGTTCAGTTTAGGTCCGTTTCTTAGCAGCTCATGCATAGCAGCACTTGTGCAGCTTCAGGTACCGCTGGTCGGCGTACCTCTTGCCACACCTGTCACAGATGAACTGCTTGCCGCCGGCGTGAACGTGCCGCTTATGGGTCCTCAGGTGGCTTCCCTGGCTGAAGGCTTTGCCGCAGATGTCGCAGACATATGGTTTCTCTCCCGTGTGAATGCGCAAGTGAAGCTTAAGGCTGTTGGCATTGTTGAATGTTTTGTCACAGGATTTGCATTGGAACGGCCTGTCCATGGAGTGCGTGCGACTGTGGGAGATCAGGCTGCTCTGCTGGCTGAACGTCTTGCCGCACTGCTGGCAGCTGAAAGGCCGCTCGCCTGTGTGGATGCGGAGATGGATCTTCAGGTTCACAGACTGTCGGAACGTCTTCCCACAGAGGTCACAACTATAGGGCCGCAGGTCACTGTGGATCCTCTGGTGGTTCTTCAGGTTAACCGCATGGCGGAAAGCTTTGGGGCACTGCTCGCACTTAAATGGCTTCTGGCCAGTGTGGATAAGCTGGTGTGATTTCAGAGTGACGGCACGGGTGAAGGCCTTTCCACACTCATTGCAGATAAAGACCTTCTCTCTAGTGTGGGTGAGCGTGTGGCGCTGCAGGTTCTGTGGCAGGTTAAAGCGGCGGCCACACACATCGCAGCTGTATGGTTTCTCTCCTGTGTGGATGACGGCGTGCATCTTCAGCTGAGCCGGCTTTGAGAACCGCTTCCCGCACTCAGGACACTCGAACGGGCGCTCGCTGACGTGCGTGCGCATGTGACTCTGCAAGCTTTGCCGCTGGTGGAAGGCGCTGCTGCAGACGCTGCAGGTGAATGGCTTTTCCCCCGCGTGGATGAGCTGGTGAGACTTCAGGTGGCTCTGAGATGAGAAGGACTTCTCACACACAGAGCAGGGGTACGACTTCAGGGAGACCAACAGGTGAGTTTCAGAGACTGCAGAGGACTCTGGCTTCTGCAGCTCAGACTGTGGAGCCGCTTCCACACAAGCTCCTGAGAAAAAAACCCAACAGAAAATAATTAACAGGCATAATCTGAACATTTTGATTTTCTTTTAATGCAAAATAAAATATTTCTATTACTTTTTCTTTAGCCAACAAGTTTACTTTATAGAGCTTAGCAAGCACATGCTCTCATTGCTTTTTTCCCCAAATTTTACTTCTGTTAGTTGTCAGAATTGCAGTGCTTTTGCCAAGGCATTTGGTTTTACCAATCATCAGGGGGAGTGATGGCCTAGAATTAATAAGAGAGCAACATTTGAGGAGAAGCTCTGTTTAGATCTCCTGGTTACTTGGTTTTCTAGAAACATCAGCTTTCAGCTTTGTGTCAAAATGTCTGCAACATTTTCCAAGCGTGTTTTATTTATCAGCAGACATGGATCGTGCTCTCACTTTCTCTAATGGTTCCCAGGTCAATCTTCCCGTCTTTATCTTTAATGCTGACTGCTGGAAAAAACGGCGCCTCCAAAGCATCACTTCCTCTTCTGACCTGCAGGGACCAAATGTCCAGATATCAGTGATGTCAGCGGGGGGAACACAGACATGTCCGGGTCGGACAGACTTACCTGGGTCACGCTTTGGTCTCTGACTCCGTAGGAGTGCTCAAGATCTGCTGGGAACAAATAATGTTACTAATGATGATAAATGACAGTAAGAATGACATCATCAGCATGTATCTACTTGGAGTGGTGGGTGACATTTGTGGGGGCGTTGCCTGCGATCATACCCCGGGTTGTGTTGTTGAGGATGTTGAGGATGCTGGGCTGTGGCTTCTTACTGCTTTGCCCCAATTGTAGATCAAGTCTGGCTTTGTCAATGATGTTCAGGATCTTCCCCAGAGCTTCGTTCCCCAGAATCTCCATGATGGAGGCAAATCTCACCTGTCAGGTTACAAAGAGGAAAAGAAGTTTTTTTTTTTAAAGTTTTCCAATAACAGAAAATGTCAGTAATTTTTTGATTGAGAGAATCTAAATGAGAATCCAGAAAACACATTGTATCATTAATTATGTGTTTTTAGCAGGGGCAGCAGACATCCGTTTCCCCTACCCACCTCCTCTGGGGGAAGCTACAGGCGCTCCATGTCTAGCCAGGAGACATCCAATATTTCATAGACTTTACCCGAACCTACCAAATTCAATTGAGCCAAAACAGTTGGAAAATATGAAAAATCTTTAAGAGAAAAAAAAAAGCAAGGAGAAAACTGGAAGAAGGGAAGAAGAAGAAGGAAGGAGGAAGGGAAGAAGGGAGCAGGAGATCGACAGGCGGACTGGTGCAGCGTCTGCCATGAAGCGGGCGCTGTACCGGTCCGTCGTGGTGAAGAGAGATATTTACTGGTCGATCTACGTTCCGACCCTCATCTATGGTCTCTGGGTCATGACCGAAAGAACGAGATCGCTGATACAAGCGGCCGAAATGGGTTTCCTCCGTAGGGTGGCTGGGCTCTCCCTTAGAGATAGGGTGAGAAGCTCGGT